ATAACTATATAGTATCGATACTGATCTAATCTTATGTGTCAAATGCATACATTAAGTTTTATACTCTCTCGGTAAACTATCGCTTACATGCCATTGGCCTCTATGTTACATAGCTATATCATTCTCAACTTGATCGATTAAACTGTCAAACATCGCGAGGCCATTGGTGACCGCAACCTATTGTTCTTTAATTGTGTCTATAATGACGGTACTCGACGAGTTAAGGTGCAGGTTTAATGAGTAAATATGTTCTCCACTGCCACAACATGTTGACTAGGTACCACTTATAGTCGACATAATCTTAGAGGTAAACTCTGACGTTTGTCAGTCCATGTACCGCTAGAACTTGTTATGAAACATCCACGTAAGAATGATAAAGTGGAATTCATTATATTAATTAATTACTTCGTTACTCATATACCTCTACTTTCATAAAGAATATAATTTATAAGCATCAAAGACGATGGGTCAAAATTGCTCCACACCCTATATAACAAAGTGAAGTTTCAAAAAGAAAAAGATAATTTGTAACCAAAATAACATATTACATATTTTCTATCTTTACTTTTTTACACCTTCACATGAAACAATCGGTTTAAAAGTCGTTCAGGTGCTGTTAAGAAAAAATCTTTCGTATGAGTATTTATAGACTGATTTTAAATAATATGTTTTTTGTTTTCAATTTAAGTAGTTTTTAATATATTACATTTATTTTGTTCAATAGACGATAACTGACAGTTATCTCTTTATACCTCTGATTATGAAAACGGAAAATAACTCAAAAATACCACACAGTTATCCGGTTTCAGACCTATCGTTATTAATATTATTAAAAATTATTTAATGGATTATGTATATTTTTACTATGAAATATTCAAGAATAAAATATCAAAATCAGATATTTATGTTCTGGTGTAATATAACATGAGTATGTATCGATTTTTGATTCTTTGATGTTGTGGGTAATGGTTTGGATCTCTGAAGAACCTTTTTGTCTCGATGTCATTGTTTCGTCAATCGCCTCACGATATTTCAAACGCTCTTGAGATATATTATTATATTTTGTAATCCAGTGATTATAAGCTGTAATTATTTTAATTCGATACATGGCAGCTGTCAGAGTTGATATATTCGATTGTGTCGACTATAAATTAGGCATAAAGTAGTTACATAAGTAATTTGATGACAAATTTATGTCCTTAGGTACCTAAGAAATAAGTTCTAGAGCTAGATTCAATAGTCAAATTAGTTTAGTACCACTAAATTCCAAGAGTTACACAGTTTAGTGCCGTTGTACAATATCATTACAGGGAACATAGGCAGCTGCAGTTGATCCTACTTTAATTGACTCTGACTGACCGACTGGTGCGTGCACTTGTGCAGCTCTCATGTTTACACTTTGTCGATTAACAACAACATAATATTATAATACTATACCTTAAACATAAAAGTCTAGTTTAATTTGATCTGTGCCATGTGGACGCCGGCCAATGCGCAACGCCCACAAAACGTTTCAATACATAAGTCGTGACGTCACCACTTACTTAACAAATAGTACGTAATTATATATTTAAAACTAGAGTTCACATTAGAGCAACCACGGCCTATGGCGTGTGACCCTCGCCGCCGAGTACACAGACGACAATTAAAGTAGGATGTTACAGTTTGCTAAGTACAAAGATCAGTTACCACTAGGTAATTAAACAAAGACAACATGGTCACAATATACAATAATTACATGGCCGGTTATAGTACACAACACTTTGCCATAAGTAGGTACTACTTAATTACATGTGTGCTTCTAATGCAGTGTAGGTACATAGGTACATGTGAGTGCTACAGCAGATAACAATGCACTTTCAAAATATTACCCACTTACGGAGACTAATCAGTTGTTTGTAACATGGAGACAATTAGTTCGAGCGACATGCAGCTGCAATTGTTGTATATATGGAGATGTTTGTTCGACTTCGAGATTAGGCCTTCAGCGTACAACGCGTTCAGTGCGCTGCTACCTCCCGAACGTAACCTAAGTGCCTAACTTATAGATAACTAACTGATAACACAGAGCCGAGTCTTGAGAAATATTAAATAGTATTATGTATATCATATGCTACTAGTAACGACGTCAAAATGTCTTAAATCACTACCTAAGAATATAAAGAGAAGAACACATGGATCGTACGACTCTGATAAAATGTACCGGGCCGCGTCAGGCGACGCCAGGCTGCGCCTCGCTGGGCTAGGCTAGGACTAGGCTGTAGGCCAGAGCGACCTTCTGCGTCGAATGCACGGGGGAGGCCTGGCGAAGCGACTGGTGGTGGGAGCGAACTGCTGCCGCGAAGTGACTCTCGCTGAGGCGGCAGACTTGGGTACCTACATAGCTTATTCGAGATGGATATAAGATACCATAACATTACGAATATAATGAACTACAATGAAAGCCTAACATTGAGGGGCACACAGAGATGTGTCGGCGACGAGCACGCTAGCAGGAACCTCTCTGTGTCCACAGACGGAGGAGTGCGGCAGGATCAGCAAGGAGGAGCAGACAGCAGTCACCGGTGACTAAGGTTGCCAGGCGTCTGGGTAAACCAGGTGATAATTTGGCTTTATGTTACCTGTCCAAACAGAATTGGCGTTGGCCCGCCAGTTATTGTTACGATCATATAGATACTGGCGCCGCGTTCTCGTGTTCGCGAACAAGTTCATATTGAGGTTGACGATAGCGCTGCTGTCGACCACATTCATTCAGACATAACATCCTCAACGGCTCAGGGTCAAACTTGCAGGACTACCCAGTCTTTGGGTATGGTGACCTGGCAAGTGGCAACCCTACTTGCGATTGTAGTGTGGTGGTCTGCTCTCGCGGAGAAGTAACATGACGCGTCCCTCGATAGAAACAGCAATACATTCAGATCAATATAACACCTACACTTAAAACAAATAGGTACCCACACTTAATTGTAACAATATGTGGGTATCTTGAAATTGGCTCAAAACGAAAATTTACGTATGTGGGTATGTGGCGAATTTGAACCTGTATGACAGCTCTAGTGTTACCAAACTCATCAAAGACACATTCACATATATTGGCACAAACATTCGATTACAAATAAAGTATCTACGTTTACATAAACATACTCAATGTAACGTCAAGCAGTACCTTCCACGGTAGATAGTGACGGGGATTCGATTCATACCTACTTAATAATAAACTAAAATGGTTTGAGTCGCAATCTTTTTAAAAGATGTACCTACCATCTGTGAGTGTAGCGTACAGTTGAGATAATTTGCAAAAGTGATAATAATACTTATATACAGGTACAATGATACGTCGAATGTTTTAGAATAGACGACGTCACTTTGATGTTACGTCTAATCCACTAACCTATATTACAATAACAATAAAACAAGTTCGTTTAGATGCATCACAGTAAACAACGAAGGGTAATTACGTAAGCACGGGCTCCTGCATATGCAATATTAGAGTACGTATAATTTTATCGCGTGACACACAACACGCGCGACGTGCAATGCCGCAACCTATCTATCTATCTGTACGAAGCTCGGAGCTAAACATTAGTCGAGGTTGAGAGCCGGTGGCCACGCGAGGGAGGGTAGCTGGGCGGGGAGGAGTGCAGGCGCAGGGTTGTGGACTCGGTCACAGCAAGCAGAGCTCGTCGGGTAACGAAGCAAACTACACACTGAGGTAAGCAATAGTAAATATATCATAGCTACGGATGCATTGAACTACGATACCTAACACCGTTCTTCTAGCTGCCGGTCCTGAGGACTCCACTCGTGATGTGCTCAGTAGTCGCGCAACCTAAGTACATCGAGGCGTTCGAAAGCGCCGACAACATGCATCATACGAGAATCAACAGTTCATTACGCAGAGCTGATGACGCACTGAGCTACCAACGACGCACTGAGCTGTTGGTGCATTGTGCTACGACGGCCTTTGCTACCGACGCACTGCGCTACTGACGTGCTGATATAACGTCACTGAAACACTGCCAGGAAGGCAGGCGGAGGCCACACGTTCCAAAGAGCAATCTCTCTAGCCTGCTGGAACCATCACTGCGGCCGGTGAGCAACTACTACTACAAACAGAAAGTGCCATAAACAGCACGACACCTATTAAACATTGAAATATGGTAAAACAGTAATCGTATACATTAATATGATATTTGGCTACTATTTTTGGTTGCAATGTGAAGTAGCAGTCCGACAGGGCGCCTCGCCCCGCCGACTCGGCCAGCTGCAAGATACGGATGCGGTTGTGTCCGTCGGGAGTCGCGCGGGGCGAGGCGGGGCGAGGCGGGGCTCGTGCTACAGTCCCTAACTACTCTTACACGTACACATAGTACATCAATAGCTCCCTACAGTCAGTCCTGTAACCAGGACTCTATATACATACATATATTGTATATCTCACGCTTATGAAACACAAAGTAAAACCTAAAGTGTAAGATAATGTAAGGAGTTACAGATGTATAATAATTTAATCAGTTCTTAGAAAATATTGAGATTAATAGTTCCTACAGCTCAGTCAGCCGACACAATGCCTTGGGATTTTAGAGCTTTCACTACACCATGTATTACACATGCATACTGCATCAAACCTCGCCGGCACACCGGTAGCGGCCGTTGGATAAGTGTACCGCTGCTGGGCAACAGAGTACCAACTTGAAGGTGCCAGGAGTTGAGAGAGGAATGGTGCGCAATGGCCACGCAACGGACGGTACAGGCGTGCCAGCCTCCTAGGCTCAATACAAAATCGTTTGAACCCCTTCTTAAAGGTTACACCCCGCGAGGTTACAAACTTTTAGTCTTAACCTCCAAAAAGCACCAAATATTTGACTGGAAAACTTAGTCATCAAACAAAACGACTTATTTTGACTGTAGCTCTTTGTCCGCCTAGAAGAGTACAGCGTATTAAAGCTAAGGTGACCAAGACGTTGGCGGCGGGCGGCGGGCGGCGGGCGGCGGGCGGCGGGCGGCGGGCGGCGGGCGGCGGGCGGCGGGCCCAGGCGGACTCCTTGCAACACAATCATAATATATCTTAAACCTCACTATGAGTTTCTATAAGCTCGATTTATATAAAGTTTCTTTAGTACTTGTGTGGCGTGACAGCATTATACAAGAGTTAATAAACAGTGTAATATAACGTTACTTCACAGGCTCGGGCGCCGAGAATATGCGCAGGCGCACCTGCTGCGTATCTTGGTTACATAATTATAGGGAGGGTCCTGGGTACAGCACCTTATTCAAATATTTCTGTGATATTTCAATCAAGACTTTGTCGAATTACCTAAGTTACATTTCTACCGACTGCATATCCCGCTTATGCGTTTAGAGAAAAGATAAGAACAATATAACAGTTAACAAGTTGTCGGTGAAGTTGTCAAGTACACATCTACGCTTGCTTACGACTGTAGATACACAACCGCAATCCTTAACTAGAAATAAGTGTAACTCCGACTATAGGGCGCAGTGCGCGGCGCGAGTCGCGCGGCGTGGCTAGTGGGCGCGGGCGCACGCCGCGGCTGACGGCGCGCCGGCACCGCTCGTATGTCCGGTGAGTAAGTCCGTGTCACTGCCTGGGCGGCCCGCTAGGGGCCGCTCGTATCATGAAGAGCGCCGACCGAGCGCCGCGTCGTAGACGCGAGGCACGCGTGCGGCATCCTTCAGTCTTAATGGTGGGGGTTCTCGTCCAGGGATCGTCACTCCGGTGTCGGCACGCAGGTTGTGTTTCATTGTCACGTTGACTTGCTCGAGCTCCAGTAAGTGGATGTTGCTTTAATGAAGTCTGTAGTATCAATACTAACTACTACTGAGTGATTTAAATAAAAACAGCTGGCCAGTGTGACAGAAATGTAGAGGAAATATACGCAAGTTCAAAAGACACCTTTAGCACGAGTATTCAAAGACTGGAGTGTTATTGTATCAACTCCACTTCACTAAAGCAATGGACACTTTCAACGGAGTTCAAGAATTTCAACTTGTCGCAATAACACAGGCGCCGTTATGTACGAATGAGCCGGGAAATGCTCTCAGTTGACGACAGATGGCTGAGGGACAATGCCTTCACTGGCTCGTGCCCTGAGAAACATCATGGGTCGGGCGGGGCCGGGATACTGGCAACTATATGTCATGGTGGCATTGTCCCGCCGCCTGTGTATTCAACATGGAGCCGTCGAATCAGGGAGGAGCGTCACTTCCGGGTAGTCATGTCCGAGTGTTTAGGCGACGTGAGTGTCGTCGTGTGCGGGCGAACCGGCGGGGCTGTAGTCATACATGGCTGTCATTGGGTTCTCAATGACATTCACCACCGCAGCGTTGAGCTTGTTTTGCTTACGACGGAAGAGGAAGTCTGCTAAGCTGGCAGCACGGCGAGGGCCACTGCCCTCCAGGAGAGCCTCGATCTCGCCGCTGCTGCGCGACTCGGCCACGCCACGCTTCACGTCGCTCAGCGAGAAGTTTTTCTTGGTCTCAGTGATATGGAATGTTTGGTCGAAGTCCGTGGAATACGCCTTCGAGTTGAGCAGCGACGTGATGGTGGGCATGCCGGCGTGGTCCGCCAGCGACAGTGGCCGCTCGAGCCGGCGCAGCACGCGCGCGCGCACTGCCTCCGCGATGCTCTCGCGAGACGACGCGCCGCCCTCGCCGTTTGCTAGTTTCGGGCTAGCCATGTCGTTGTTCTCTGCAAAGTTTCATATTATTTGTAAAGTGTATTGTTGTAAAATATCTATTTGACCACATTTATATAGTAGCTACTTCAACGCTAGGATAATTACCCCTGGGGATGGACGCCCTGGGCGAAGGTCCACCGTCCTCGTCGGTGTGTCCCTCCGAGAGGGTCTCCAAGGGTCGGTGCTCGGGCCGGCCGCCGGCAGTGTTGCTGCACTCCTGGCTCGTGCCAGACGTGGACGGCTGCGGGTTCTGTAACACCGAGCACAGCCAGTCAGCGAGGCTACTTCCCACCATTAGTATTTATTTCAGTTATATATTCAGTTTTGATTTGTCGAAGTAATAAAAGTGACGATCAATAGAACTGAGTAGTTGGTACACGACAACAAGAGTACTGAATGCTTACGCTGTAGATGTCGAGGGTGCCTGGCGAGGTGGTCTCCCCGATGCCCTCCAGGAAGTAGGTGACCATGTTACCCTTGCCTTTCACGTCGATGGTGCCCCGGCAGCGCAGCTTGTAGCCGCGCATGGCCAGGATCTCGTACACCTCCTCCGTCACCTGCGCACCACCACTACAGCTCCACAACGTGACCGCTAGCTGTGCACTAAACAGTACACGAGTCCGCGCCAGCATCGACCGAGCCAACTTCGCAATATGGTACCGTGGCAGCGCAGTCGCGGAGCAACCAGCGAGTCAGCGAGCTCACTCACACTTGCATTAGGAGCTATCTTACAATACTAACATCGTGTATTTATTCCATTATTTCCATCATGGCGAATCAATTATTTGCGCCAATTATCAACACTTTCTACAATTGATCTTACGTGGTTATATATTATTTGTTAAATGACATATCGGGGTCCGTAAGTTCGGAGTTGGTAAGGATAAAAATGTATTTTAATTTCATGATTTATGATAATATAAATAATGAAATTAAAATTGAAGCTTTCATTGTTTTAATTTAATATTCAACAAAACTGGAATGATATCAATTAGCGATCAATTGTAAAGTAGACAAAGAATGGCACATATTTAGTGGATTCGTGTAGAAGTGTAGGAGTGGTGTTGAGTAAGCGGACCTGGATATGGTCGAGCAGCCCTGTGGAGTCCATGCGTGACGCCACGTTCACGGCGTTGCCCCAGATGTCGTACTGAGGCTTGCGGGCTCCGATCACGCCTGCCACCACCGGCCCGATGTTGATGCCTGCAGAACGATATACACCTCGTTCCTCACTTATTCTTGAGTACCATTATATCGCAGTAATCGCAAGCAGTGTACATTACAATAGGATATATATTGATATCTTGATATATTGTTCGCTCTTGTCGTAAGAAACAGCACATCCGGCAGGATGTTTAATCACGACTGTTGCACAGCAGGGGCGCATTGCTCAGTGGAACAGGCTCTTACCAATCCGGATTCGGAAGCTGTTGAACGAGTGCTCGTTGACATACTGCAGCTGCTCCCGCAGGCGCAGTGCGTAGTCGGCCATGGCAGTCACGTGACGGAAACCGCGCAGGTCGCGTGTGGCGGCCGTCAGCCCTGCGGACACGTCGGTGTAGGACTGCAGTCACTTATATATTTTATGACTTATTTACATTTATTTTTTTTAAACATTGCACAACACTAGTATTGTCATCTGTATTGTGGTTGCGTTCCGAAACACACGTTAAATACACGTGCCACGCACACCCGAAACCACAATATGTACATCACACAAAGAGTTGCCGCTTGACTTGTAAGATATACTGGAGGCAGCCACTAGGCACATACCTGATGCGGCCATGTATGTGGCGCCGGTGCTCTTGATCTTCTCAATGTATTTGAACTGGTCCTCGGCAAGGATTTCGTCGAAGTCGGCGATAATCTCGTTGAGGAGGCGCAGGCACTCCACGCCCTCATTGTTGCCCTCCAGCTCTACATAGAATTCCGAGAAGTTCGGGATGGATGCGAACATGACGCACACTGACTCACATTGCTCGTGGTACAGCTCCTGAAACAAAGCATCTCTTGCTTGAGACATGGTCCTGCTGTCATCTGCAGCAGGTCGCTGGAACAGGTGGCACTGCACTCACATCGATGTTTTTGTCGCTGCAGAGGAAGTGCTGTGCGACGTGCTCGGGCAGGATGTTGGCCAGCAGCTTGCGGTTGTACGCCTCCAAGTGCTCCATCTCCTCCTTCTCATCTGCAAATCATGACGAGGCAATCTAATGCTAGCATCAGGTGTCAACTACATTGATTATCCTCACTTGGGTTATGAACAGGAAAAATACGTTATGCGTATACGTTATGCGTAGAATATAGTTTATATTATGTATGTACCGTTGGCCTGCAGTTTCCAGATAAAGTCGAGCCGGTACGTGCTTTCGGTCTGGTGCGAGTGCAGCAGTAGGGCCACTGTGGCACCCACTGCAATCACTACATCGGTCCATTGTTGGTTCCAGTCGAGCCCGCAGCGGTGTCTGTGGACCACACTACTAACAATTAATTTATTACCTAAATCTATAGAACACTACAAATGTAAGGTTTAATTGAATTTCCATAACAACATGAGAAGATATTGCTTTGCTTGCATAAGGTGCCATCACCGCGGTGTTCTGATCGTACTATGTACACCGACGTGACATAGGCTACCCAACAAGCAAAATCATGAACTTGATGAATATGAGCAAAATCAAAGACTTTCACGATTTTATATTTATACCTTTAAAAACCTATCTAGTTTTTATAATTATGCGAAGTATTCTATTTTCACGAAGGGACGTATTACGTAATTTTTCCATAATTTGTTGATTGTTGATGAAGCAAAAGCGGTAAGTAACAATGGCGTTCCGTAGTCTCTGCCCACCCCCATGGGGAACAGTCGTGAGGTTATATATGTAGTTGACAGCTACAAATGAGACAACTTTATATATAAATGTGAATGTAAGTGCGTTTGTCTGTGTGCCTTCTCACTCGTTCCTAGGCACCCGGGGAGCAACTACCGCACCAGCCCCGGTAGGCAACTAAAACGTTTGAAAAGACACTTAAACCCGGTTTGTTAAGCCTAATTCGATGCAAAAATCATCTAATCTATCTATTCGACTGTTAAATCTCTAGTTAATTGATTGTGCCGTAGCCAGGGGCGTACTTACTGATAGTCGTGGAAGTGCTGCTTGAAGATCATGTGCTCGTGGATCGTGACGGTGGCGTACGCAGTGCACGTGAACGAGAGCAGCAGCAGCTTCACCACCGTGATGAGGATCTGGTGTACGGCGCACAGGAACATCGCCAGCAGCGTCAGTTGCAGGTAGTGCTGCACACAAAACACGTCACACAGTCTGCGATACCACCGTGCTCAGTGACTTACGAGCTGAGTCAATGCATTACCTCGTTCATGTCGTGCGGGCAGTGGTGGAAGTCGCCCTGCCGAGTCTCATTGGCCAGGAACTCCTGCTTGCTCTCCGAATCGAACAGACCTTGCACCTGTACACACTTTCAAAAACTGCACACTTTAGTATACATCAAAATCATACTACTGCAACTGGTAGTTATTGTAACCTGTACATGCACCGCGGAGGCGCACGTTTTGATCATTCCGTTCGGTGTAGTATAGTAGGGGAGCCCATGAAGAGATTTCGGTAGTTACTCGAGCGCGGCAGATTAACATATGGGGAAAAACTACTGTCATTTTGTATATACCCACCATATATCCGGTTTGATTAGAAGGGGAGGAATAAAAAAATATCTGACTAAATAAAGTCAGTTTCGTCAAATTAAGGGAAGAGAAGTCAACAGAATGCTAAAGGAATTGCGTTTAAAAATCCGGCCATTCGAGCTTGATTTGCAAGAGTGGGGGAATTTTGAAAGGTTCTCCTTTGTACCCTCCAGAACATTCAATCCCACCATGCAAACTGGCAGATTAAGGGTTTTTCAATATCAAATACACATGGAGCATGTAACTACACTATCAATATCTGACACGCTCGACCACTAGAACAAAAGTTACGCATAACAATTTCAAAGATCTGTAGATTCCCCCTTCCCCCACCGGTGGAAGTTTACTTTCAATCAGCATATCTTCAAAATCCAGTAGGTTCCAACGATACTCGAGTAAATCCAAATTTAGCATCGTGGGCTCCCCTACTATTACTATGTGCAAGAGATGGGAACAAACGGCTCAACACTCGAATTGTCTGTTATGTTTTTTTTTCTTCTTTGGCAACCGAGTCTCCAATATGATGTTGTCGACTATATCTGTTATGTTGTTTTGAACACGAAAAGACTACCAAAGCTGACGATTTAATTCTATTTATTAATAACATTCATACTATATTGATTATAAGTTCAATAGCAGAGGGACTGACCATAACGACCTGGATCTGGATGATGAACGAGGTGACGACGGTGAAGGATACCATCTGTGCCAGCGTGCGGTTGTTGTGCACGCGCTCCGACAGGCGGCGCAGGCGCGGGCTCGAGTGCTGCGCATACAGTGGACAGTAGGCGGTGATACTACACTTTAAAGTCAAGTGTTTAAAACTTTGTAGACAATGCAAGAACTCACCTCAAAGTCCAGGCAGAGCACCAAGTACGTGAACGAGCAGATGATGATGCCAGACGTAGCGATGGTGATAATGCTAACCGGCTTCCTGTCCGTGCAAACATAGGTGTGTTACTACAATCCCATGCCAAAATATAAAACATTCTCTACTCTCACTCAACATACATGTTTCAAAGACTTTGAAATATTAATGCACGAGATCAGGTAGAAAGAATGAGTTCACCGTCAATTTTTAGATTAATTATTATTGGTACGAGGAGCGAACACTTACAGGTTGTATGAGACGACCTGGATGACGACGCTGGCGAAGTAGATCGCCAGGGTGCAGATGAAGTACACCTTCATCATGCGGTCGCGCTCGCCGGTGTACTGCAAGGAGACGACGACGTTGTAAATATCAAGGCAAGGTAACGAGTGGTGTGTGTGTGCGCGGGTGTATGTGTGTGTGTTGGGGGGTGTACCTTGCGCTCCAGCTTGCTGTCGCGGAAGGTGAGCGTGCAGGGGCGGCAGTGCTCGGCGCGCAGCCGGTCCGTGGAGCGCGCGTCGATCGCCTTCATCAGGTACTCGTTCACCTCGTCCTCCGGCTTTTTGTTCTCATTGCTGGCATCTACTCCGATCCTATAAATCAGGGCAAAGCTCAGGAACGCTGCGGTTTTATGACCAATACGGTAGGTACAAGGCGTCACTATTACTTGGGCACCTTTGCGTGTCTGAAAACCTCGATAACAAAGTACTTGCTAACGTACTTAATTAGAAAGATAATATTGATGAACGATACAAATCAATTATTACGTTTTTCGGTTTACTCTCGTAACTGTTTAATTAAGAACTTGAAACTATCACCAAATACCAAACTATCTTGTAAAAAATATTTGTTGGTGATCAGAGTGAGCATGAGGCATGTCGTGTAGTGTCACTCACTTGGAGGAGTGCTTGCCGTGCTGCGAGCCGTGGCCCATGACGCGCATCTCTTTCGACACGTTGCCGTTCAGCGAGAACGAGTGCTGCGGCTTTTTGTCCTGCGCACACAAAATGTTATGGATAATTGTAATTTATTCTTTTTATCTGATACGTAATTTTCTACTAGATTAGGTACTAACCACTCGGCTGGTATCGTCGGGGACGATGAGATAGGTTTCGATGTTGTGATCCTTCAGGTAGGCATTGCGCAGTCCGCCGTGGCCGGGCTCCACCTTGTAATCATCGCCCAGGCAGCGCAGCGTCTCCTTTGTGATGTGTACGCGTCTGCACAGAGAACAACACCGATCAGCACGATTGCACCCTGCCAGTAGTTGAGGGAGGGGAGGGCGTGGTACTCACCCAGCGACACCGCCACTCTCCATGTAGTTGGCGAGGGTGACGTCATTGGACCAGACATCGAACTGCCATTTGCGCAGGCCAAGTACTACGCAGTGCACGCGGCCGGTGTGGATGCCGACGCGCATGTTCACATTGACGGCCATCACCTCGCGCACCAGCCTGTGACGTCACAAAAGAGCAAGTGAACAGGCTGGGGGTTGAGTATAGCAAGTAATGTGGTGCGCATGCAGTATACTAACGCGATGGCATCAATCATGTCGAGTCCCATCTCAACACAGCATTTGGCGTGGTCGTCACGCGCCTCGGGCAGGCCAGATACGCAGTAGTAGCAGTCGCCCAGCAGCTTGATGCGCAGGCAGTGGTGTTCTGCTGCCAGCCGGTCGAAACTGAACACCAACATCAACATCTATTAGTGTCGTCGTGTGAGTGGAACCGCATTACGTGGACATTCTATTATTATTGCGTGTTATCATTTATGAGCTGTATCAGGTGTTTAAAGTATTCAGGTGTTCTATCGTGGAGTAAATGACTTCTATAACATTACTGATTAGTATGAGTACAATATTAATTGTCTCAGGCACTCTTTAGGTGCTCGTGTGTGATTCTATATAACCATAATGACATCATGAGGTAAACATAGAAAAAAACTTCTGGTAACTTGACCTGAGTAGATAATCTAAAGCCCATCTCGTTTGTGGTACGATAACTGTCGTATTGATGTAATCGTACATGTTCGCATTATATTTGAGTACGCAGGCACCGCTCACTGTAAACGGGTGAACAAGAAGTATCCGAGAGGTCACGACTCGGTAGGAGGGCCCGAGACAGAGCTATAGTCGTCACCGCTAGGACCTACATATGAGGTAGAGTACTAAAGCCCTAAGAAATAAGGTGTCCAAAGGATTTACGGTGCTTACGCAAGCACCTGTGATAGAGTAGTGCGAATAAATCGGGTCGTGCACATGTCTCGTCACTGGGGGCTCGTAAATCCGTGCTCTGCGTTATTGCACCTTTTACGGTGTGCCAGTTGAGGTCTCACTGTCGAGAGTGTCGAGTAATGAACTCGGTCGGAAGGGTGGCGGGAGGGAGACCAGCCCTCACCCGTCACCCCCGGATACAAATCTTAAGGTTTACAACGGTAAAACCGATAATTGGAGGATTTACTCTGACCTGAATAGTGTGGGGGGTTGGTGACCATACGGACACCGAGTGAGACAGAAACAGTGTCGATACAACACGTGGCGTAGACAGAGAATGATACATATTTTTTTCTTCTTCTTCTTAAAAAAAACGTTGCCCCACATTAGGATATTCTCCTGTGTCGTGGGTGCGTTTACAAACATACAAGTTCATATACACAATGACACCCAGACCCCGAAACAACAATTTGTGGATCACACAAAGTGTTGTTCCGTGCGGGAATCGAACCCGCGACACGTTGCACGGCAGCCGATTGCCCAGTGACTGCACCAACCGTGCAGTCATTTTGTGCAACACCAGACAAAATAACGTTTTGAAAATGATCCAACACTCTAAGTCTCATAAATAGGTACTGTTAAGGTCATCGCAGCGTTTTTTGATGTTAAGACAAAAAGGATGTAAGTGCAGCATCGGCGCAGCGTTGCATTATGAAATGTCATACCACATGATTCGAAGATTTTATTTAAATGATAAGATTGCTTGGTCGGAGCCTAAGCACGGCACGTAGGTGTCGCTATACATTAGCGGTGCCATGTAGTGGGAGATGTTCTACTGTGTCTAGTATTATTCTCTATCGCCATGTAATGGTATTGTAATTGGCCAGTGACGTGTGTAATGAGAATGTCGCGGCCGTGCACACACTGCGCTCCTCGCACGTGTCACCGACAGAGACAGCCCACAAATTAACACATCTCTATTATATAACGTAAACCGATCATTGTCATCTACAACTCGGTAAGCATATTGTAGTGTGTATATGTTACACACTATTAGGTAACGAGATGATATGCATATGATATGACTGGATGTCACACATGTACCGTGTGAGGTAGGACGCTGCCGGGCCCGGCTCGGGGCTGGCGTGAGGCGCCTTCCCTCGCCCAATTAATCTCTTGGCACAAAACAAAGTGATTAACTCGCGCCTATTATCCGTAGGCCCGCAATTTGTAACACTAGCTGTGGCGTCGAGTTGCGCAGCCCCTGATGCCGGCGACCCTTGAGATTATCACCTGTATCTTACGAAGGTTAACATTTAGAGGTTAAGGGGCACGCCTTGGAACTTACTTTATCTTAGCGTTGAGTTATTTATTTATTTTCTTTCCCATACACGTTATTGTTTATTTATGTGTAAATTATATTTAATTTAATCTCAGTAAGATCACAATATCTAGGTGTTTGACGAGTGGTAATATGCAACAGGTTCGCCACCTACTCTAGTGAGGATCTAACATTACTGACAAACGTGGGTGTTGAAATTAATGTGCACCTCTACTTAGTGCTTCGAAGAATAAAAGGCGCGATGTTACAGTGGATCACTTCTGTGACATTTTCAAAGTATGGTATGTTTGGAAACGATTCAAACAAATCATAGTTTATGGCACAGACTCCGTCGACATTTCAATTTCATATTTGCGTGGTTTATTTATTTCTGTAAGTGTAATATTTCCCCGAGGGGTTGCTGGACGTGCAGTCTTCAGTTGTTGCTTTATTCATATTCAACTTGAACAAGTGCCCCGTGATTGCAACCCGCACTCTTCGTGCGTTATTTTGTATCACAATATGCATCACTTGAGTTTTCAGATGGTTACAATAGTACGGTTGAATAAAAAAACCGCCGTATAATAGAATATAATCCACGACTGACCGAGCGAAGAGCTCGTTCAGCAGGCGCACCAGCTCCTCAGCGGTGCACTGGTCGGACAGGGAGGTGAAGCCGCAGATGTCAGCGAACAGGATGCTGCAACACACAAACATTACATATTGTCAACTACATACATAGGCCGAGAAACCAATTCGCTATGTGTCGGTGGTGAGTTAGGTCTGTATTGAATGGTGACTAGCGTTTAGCTTAAACAGTTTCCAATTGTAAACATGAAACACTAGCGCGTGACCCGTGCGATACTCATTCAAATAGCGCGGTTGACGTCACCCAGCGCGCGCCAGTGACACAACACATGTACAACCGCCTGCACTCCGTTTACATTTAAGAAGTGGCTACACATCGTATCTGTAATTTGTCCAGTAATCCTCGGTCCGAGCCGTGAGCCTGGATTATTCAGAGATTTACTATGAAATTGCAATTTTCTTCGAATTGAAATTCAATCTATATTAAATCTGATCAGTTGGAAATAACTTGAGTCTGCATTCGTTTCATAAATATACATAACTGTTGTCCGGTGGTAGCCGGACATTTAAGATGCCCGCTTCTCATGCACGAGGGCGCGGGTGCGAAACCTACCAACGGCAAGTTATCAATTTTGACTTTTTCCAAGTTATGTGTAATTTCTAAGACTATTTATACACCACTGACATACAACGAAGGAAAAATATCGTAAGAAAACGTGGGCTTATAAGTTTGAAATTACGAACCTACATTGAGCAAGCGTGGTGATTAATATTCAAACCTTCTCCGTGCGAGAAGAAGGATTTGTTTAGTAGTGGCCATTTATAGGCCGACATAATCGCACCTATTTCACGGCAAACCAAAAAATAATCACGCAAATCAGTCCACATACTGCGGCGTAATCAATGTACATACATAGAAAAGATACTGGTCGAATTGAAAATGTCCTTCTTTTTGGGATGTCGGTTAAAAAGCATGGCGGCACAGGGCGCTGCGCCGTGCGTTGACGAAAAATATAATATCACATCTGTCACAACGCCTACTGTCACCGCAAGTGCCGTGAATATCAACTGATACAACCTGCCAGGCGAGGAGATCATGGCAAATCCCTATTAAGTAAAGAATATATAATAAAAATACGTGTAATTTTTGTACTGTTTAAAAAGTATTAAAGTGTCAAGGTAAGAGTGCAGTCATATTGTCATGGTATGGCAAACGGCTGCGACAGCCGGTGACTCGGCCGGTGGCCCACCAGCGTGGTTTACCGCAGACACGGATTGAAACTCGGAACTCGAAGTTGTGATCAACTGCAAACCAAAGGCCACAATACTTCAAACAAACCTTTTATTTAGTACGATCGTACTGCGACGCACTCGCTCTCTGCATTACTCACGAATTTCCTGTTGTATTAAACTTTTACTATGGTAAACAAATTACATGTTGTTTCGATAATTAAGTAAAAAATAAAATTGTCTATAGTTACTCATTTTGATTACAGTCCCCACTAGTTGAATACTCAACTGATATACTTGATATACTCAAAGCGAACTTTTAGGAATAAATCCTGCTAATGAAACATATGTATGTTCGCAGTGAAGCTACATGTTACGTGACGTCCATTACGTACATCGCTGCAGACGGCAGGTGACAACGCGTGATGTCAGATCCCGAGACGTTTATAAACGTTATTGAATATTTCGGCTCAGCTTAGCGGCAAAATTATGTTTGAACTCATAATTCAGTCACGTCTCACTTCAGTGATGATGTTAATCTCGTTTAGTCTCAGTAAAAGTATTTATTATTAATTCAATGCAAGAACACTTCTACACTTGACTATGTTTGAAAACTCAGTTATTATAATTATATTTAATTATAGAGAAGTAATCTAACCAATCTCAATATTTATTTTGCCTACATCTCACTAGTAAAGTGGTTTACTACTATGTGCCACTTGCTACAGCTTCGTAGCAATATCTATGCCACCCGTAGCTCCGTAGCAATGACTACGCCGCTCGTAGCGAAGTGCTACGAATGTATCTAAGGCGGTAGAAGTCATTGGATGATTTTCGCCCCTCAAAAAAGAATAATTTTATTTCAGTATGTAATAGTAACTTACAGTCTTGTAAAAGATAAGCTAAACTATCGTATTTTGTAACTTACTTCATGAAACGTTTACTAAATTTTGTGTATGTAGTGTAATGAACAGTGGTGTGACGTCACGGGACTCTGTAAGTCCCGTTTTGTATGGTCTATGGTGCTGACTGACTCATAACATCACGACGTCACAGCTCATGAAATTGATACGTTTGTTTAAACCTAATCCGTGTTGTTTAATAAAAAAAATCACTGTATTTTTTATTTCTGAGCAAATATATTACATTCATCACAGTTTAGTTCATTATAAACAAAATAAAACGGAACTAGTACGAAACTGCACGCTGTTGAGACAAAATATTAAAAAAAGCCTGCGTTGTAGCTGCGTACTACGTCGTAGTACTTCACGTAGCCTGTCGTAGCAACTCGTAGACACTGTACTACGAGCCCTTTTTATTGCTTATTACCTTTCCACATTTAATTTAAAACTAAGTAACATATAGACAGGTACATTTTATTATATCAGTGAACTACTGACGGTGAATGTGAACGGGAATAACAATACCATCGGTTAGTGTTTTCGATTTGTCGGAAAATAATTATTTGTTTAATGGAAATATAATACGCTAACATTCGTTGTTGTTACATTTTAATATGTATTTAGTATGTATAAGCCATCATGCAGGTCTATCATAGACTGTACAGTAAATAAACTGAATGTCTGCGTATCAAACAAAATACCATGTAATTGATTCCTTAAAAGAGTGTAGATGGCGTTAGCAGTCCAATCTCAAATATGTTTGGCAAATCTAAAGCGAAACTGTATGCAAGTAAAGAAGTAAAGGGTATATAATATACAGGCGTTTCGACTAAGTTCTGAATGAAGTATTAACGCAACTTGTCGCTAGATGGCACTTTGTCACACATTTATAATCAGCGATTACATTCTTTGACAAAATTGATGAATAGTTAGGGACTTCACGGTAGATTCCTGATATATCTGCATGACACAAACATGGAGGGGCTCAATAACAAAATGCACTACATTCCATCTACTTGTATTTGTGTTGCTACTTGTTGCTTAGTTTCAAGTATTATACCTTTTAAAAGTGGAAAGGGTTCGTAGCACACTTGCTACGAGTTACTACGAAGGGCTACGTGAAGCTACGAGGTACTTTAATGTGAATATGATACAGATTTTTGGTAGGGTTTGTGATGTGGGTATATACATATATTTATATTTGTTTTAATGTGTATCTATTGTGTTTAACTTATCGACTTTGATGAATTTAACAGTTTTGTTGAAAAAGGAGGAATACAACTTCTTGTAGTACTGTAATACATCTGCTTCTTCTTAATATATCGTATGCTTTTAGCAATATAGGATATCTGTTTCACACAGGACTTTCCACATAATTTTAACGAAGCATACCCGGGTCTGGCTTGGTATTCGTAGTTTCCACAATGTTAGTGAAGGATTTACTTTAATTGTGTGTACGCGACAACAGCTGTTGCGACCGTGTGTGCGGCGGACGCGGGCCCGTACCAGCGCTTGTTCACTGGTTACATTAACACGCCTAATTACTCGCAGCCGCTTGCCGAACTACTGGCACCGGAGCAAGCCCCTCACCGCGCCTAACGTCGGCCCGTTTGTGTATTAGGATGACATGTAAATTAGTTTAGTACAACATGCGACATGATATTAATCTGTTGCTGACCAAGATATTTACATAATGAAGATGTGATATGTCATGTGATATGTTAAGGCTTTATTGTAATTTCTATGAAACTGAATGATTACTAGCTGAGACAGGCTACTGGTGCACTATGGACCCCCTCCACATAAGAAGGGTATGCTATAAACTTCATGCCTGGCAGTCCGTTTGGAGATTACAGTTTAAAACTTTCAGGTTCACCAGAGACCGCTGCTGCCCGGTCTCTACTATATCTGCAGTTGTTTAGTAATTCGTAGGATAGTTTGCAGCGACCAATAACTTCCTTGGGTAAGAAAAGAAATAATATAGAGGTGTGCATTAACGAAGGACATAACGTTGTACACAAAATACATGTATTCATAAAAATATAATTATTGATTAATCTATATTCGATATTAAAGGGAATAATTGACAAGTCTAGTGAGGGGGTCCGTTTGATGTGGTAGCCACAAGTGCACGCTCTGTCTGTTGTGTGTGTGGGGGGGGGGGGACAAATTCAGTCGTTGCATGTCACTGTGTTTATTGTTGCCATGTAACTTAGAGGTATAATTTATTAAATTTGTAATTCAGCACAATTCTGAAGTATCAAAAATAAGTCGCATTTTATAACGTTTGTGTCTTGAAAAATACCATAAATATTTAATATGCTCGACATGTAAGATAACCTTGAATGATAATACTGAGAATATTATTGAAAAATCATGAGTTGTGTGCGCTATTGAAATACTTGAACAGTTGAAGAATCATTGAATAAATTCAAATATACGTAGTTTTTCGTCTTATTTTTATATTTGAGTACGTTGTGTTATCTAGAGTTAATTCATCCGAATATTTTATTAATAGTCTTACGAGATTTATTATTGTATATACACAGGATTACTTCAAATAAACTAGCTACCTCTATCGCTGGACCGTTTTACGAATATCATAAACAACAACAATTGTTCCACGACTTTCCAAAATTAATCAGATTGTATGCATCAGACTATACACAAGATGGAACAGTTGGTGCGTTTATACGAGTCAGTTACTACGAGTGCAGTTGTGAATCAACACACAACTCTAACATGTTTAGAGTTTTGTATAAAAACGTCTTTTGATAAAATAAGAAGTTTGCCCAAAAAGATTAGGGGAAATAATGGAACATAATCCTGGTAAGTATTTCGTTAGTGTGCTGAACGATGTACCAACGTGAGTAATGTAAGCTTCGATAGTAGTACAGTGTTAAGACAGCAGGGGTCAGTTTAGTCGGATCAGCAGCAGCAGTGAGAGCAGACCTGTTGGTAACCGATCAACGTCACCCATGAACACGTGACGAGTTACAAGTGCGTTGCCTATATTTTAGAAGCACGTTCTTTTCTTGAAAGTTTGGTGTAATTTCAGTTTGCGAGACATACCTGACGTTCTCATAGCGCTGGATGTAGATCTTGTGGAACTGCTCCTGGCGCGGCTGGTTGGCGATGTCGGCCTTCATCTCCATGGCGACGTGGCGCGGCAGCACCGACAGCAGCAGGCGCTCCTACACACACATCATGTTACACACAACTACACATATATATGTAAGTCGGTGTGTCCCCGCTGTGCGCTACTTCGAGTGGAATCAACCCGCGGACAGCTGGCGTCACTGTAACTTAAGCTCGAGTACACAACTAGCCCCTGGCCGACACGCGGCCATATTATTTCCTAGCATCAAACATTTTCTGCCCAATATTAATGAAGCATTTCGGCAAATTTTAGAATGCTTGTAATATCTTCGTTTCGATTATTATCTATATATATTGGATGTTGTAAAAATATAATTAGCTTGAGATACGTAGCCGTTTCTTTGTTACGCGGAGTCTACCAGATACACGAGGATTTTGATTATATTCTCCTTATTATATCCACCTGTTCTAATGTTATCTGAAGTTTGAAGGAAATAAGTGGGATATTGTAGAAACAAGAGGCGGGGTATCGAGGGTTCAACGAGGAACGATCAACAACAAAGCGGATCAACGCGTACACTGTCAGACGCAAGCGGCGCGCGGCTCGTCACAGCTCCACGAACAATATCATTAGGTGTTTGTTAATTGTGTAATGTGCTTGAACTTACAATACTATGACAATGTTTAAAGTTGTAATAAATTATCATCCGCCCGCCTTGGTGAACGAATTGTTTATTTAATGAAACTCACTGCATCCGCTTTTAAGCAGTCTGTCATGATAATTAAAAGCCTCGGATATCATGGACATAAGATAAGCACCGTTACTGATAGTAAACATTCGCCACGAAGCCCACAATAAAGTAATGGCGTGTGAGACGTCCCTACATATTAAGTGAGGTCGGATGTACCACCGCGCCGTCTCACTGAGTACAAGCCTCTGTCGCCGAATTATCAGATCACGATAATATCGATGAATTGGAACATTCTATCGAACTCAAGTTAAGACTACTGATGTACTGAGACATTGGAACATATTCACTCGACTGAATTGTACCTCCCATTGTTGGGAACTATTCAAGTTAGTATACAGATCAACGGAGATAAAACCTACCGCCATTGTCAGAAGGAATCATATCTATTTACCCGAAACCATGTAATGTGCGGCGAAACAAATCAAGTATAAATGTTTCAGTGATTAATAGCTGCACCATTAACTTTATATTACTTGTTGACAGTACTGGCTGCCATTTCAAACACCAACAGAAACTCAATGAATGGCTTCCACGGGGCGGCGCTCAGCGCCGGCAAACATTAGTCCGCGACCCGCTGCCTTTGACTCCACCACACATTTGCATTGACGGGGCCTTTGTATTTAATTTGTATACTTTTGTCGACGACAAACATTCTGTGGCGCACATTCATTAACTGGAACGTTCCACGTGGTTTCATCACGAATTTAATTAATTACCTTATGTGGATACTGGGACACCTACTGATTTGTTCATCGATATTAATAATTTAAAGTGCACACTTCATGCTGTCGTGGACTGGAGCTTATTACGGTGTCCACTGTTCAAGTACAATTATGTGCTACAGTAACCTGGCAAGTAGTTTCTTTTAAGGTGTTGTACGACTAGGGTTAGACACTATTGAAATACCATGAAGGAAAACATCTCGAGGAAGCTTATGAAGCCTCAAACAATCATGACGAACAATGGTCAAATGAGAAGTTGAGTTTGTCCTGTAATGGAACAGTTAGTTGCTACCGACCTGCTGCTGGTTCTCGCGCTGGGTGACGAGCCGCGCCTCGACGCAGTCGCGCGTCTCGAGGAAGGCGCGGCGCTGTGCCAGCTCGCGCGGGTTGTGTGTCATGATGCCCGCCAAGTTGCACGCGATCAGTGTCGCCACCGTGCAGTAGATTTGCTGCGGACGTCGTTGTAATGTTTCATGTTTAACAAACAGTTTCCGACAATAGGTCGGTTTATTTATTTATCATAAACGTTAGTTTGTCATTATATACTGATCACAAGATACTCACGTGCACTTCAGCATGCTCATCGAGGATGAGGTGAGCGCCGATGTTGACGATGCTGAGCGCCAGGCCGGCCACCACGGCCTCATGCAGCCGCACGGGCAGCGCCGCATACGTCACGTACGTGAACAGCGCGCACGAGCCCGTGCTGATGCTCAGCCCACTACGCATAAAGTTTTACGTCACTCTAGTTACTTTTATCATAGAATTTATTCAATGTGACAGTCTGACCAAATATCGTTTGTACATGGTGCTGCTAATGTATCGGATAGTAATTAATTATGAACATGTACGTAATGGGGTAATTACAGATTTATGATAATAGCGGCCGTATAATACAAAACATATAAGATTATGATGTGGCTATAGACGGCTGACCACGGCCACCTTCCGGGAGTCGGGAGCGCCACATTACCTAAAACGACCACTTTCCGGCACTCGTAAACGTGGTCCGCGCGGCGGTGGCGGCGCCCAGCGCCCACCGCGCCGTTAAAAATGAAACAATAACACCTTTAACGACTGGCAAATTTGCCCGAATATTGGCCGAGTAATGCACTATCCGATAACGCCGCGCCGTAAAAATGTTCACCGACAATAAAGTCGGCGATAAACCGGCGCGACTCGCTTTGATCTGAACTGGTATAAACATGTCTCCCACCGCACTTGTGAACTTCGTTTAAAACGGATTCATAAAGTTCCTTCTAACATTTGAAACAGTTTTGAAAATGTGCTGCAAACAAATGGACCCTTGCTCTGTGGTTTGTTTGAGGGGAACTTTGGTCGGAGTGGCAAGTTTTAATTTCAATAGAACACAAGTTGCGTGGCGCCGCTCGCCATTGTGCGCCCTACTACTCGGTGACACTCCATTCCACTCGTGTTTGCTCTAATAGTTGTAGTGGGCGCCTGTTCCAGTCACATTGTTAAATGGGCTCGGTTCCAGTGGAGAGAAAACGCCAGGAGTCGAGTTCTACAAGTTGCCCACTTGTAGAACTCGACTCGTTACTTTGACTGAGTTGTTACGAATATCTTGTTTGGAAACAACTTTTTAAGGCTTATATATAAAGAAATAGAGAAGTAGACTTACCGCAGCACGGCGGTGCCGGCCAGGGCGAGCTCCACCAGCAGGAAGGTGACGAGCACCACGTAGGAGATGGTGAGCAAGTAGATCTCGTTCATGGCCGGGCGCGTCAGGCACGCCAGCAGGCCTGCGACATACAGCACTAGTTTATTGTTGTCTGTATAGAATCACTCGAGTAAATAGTCATCGCCCAACGTATCGGTTTGACACGCAGTAGGTACTCATAGCACAGAGTTACCGAAGCTATCGAATAGTTGATAGATGCGAGCGCTCTCTCGGTCGACGATAATGCTGCACTTAGTTCAAACATGATTACATGCATGTCGTCGCCGGGATCGACGCGTAATCCCATAAGTCCTTAATGGACACCAATCGATATCAATTTCAACGGATTTGTACGTGTATGGTGTTTGGAATGATTAATTAATCTTATATTATTATATAAAACTGAAGAGTTTGTTTGTTTGATCGCGCTAACTTCGGAACTACCGGGTTGATTTGAATAATTATTTTTGTTGGATAGAACATTATCGAGGAAGGCTGTAGGCTCTAACAGATCACGCCATAGCCAATAAGAGCCGAGCAGAGCGGGTGAAACCGCGCCGGAGTAGCTATTGTATACATCGATGGAACAAAACGAGCGTATTCTTAAACCATTTATTAATTCATATCTCTTACAAATCGTAGCGTCTCCGTGTACGTACATATTTCCTAAATGATGACAATTATGATGCGTTCTGTTGCCTACTCCAGGCTGAAGCAGCAAGCTTAACTTCACGTTAGTCAGAGGTCATTAGCTCCGAACGCACTTAATTCATTAACCACAACAATATCAATAATTAACAATCTGTGCATGACAGCTAATTACGCGAGTAATTATATACTTAGTAAGTAGGTAGAGTATATACCACACATACGGTAGGGGGTACTCACATGCGTAGACGAGGGCGGTAAGTCCGAGGACGATGATGTTGACGATGTGCGCGACGCGCTCCTTCTCGTAGTACACGTGGAACTGCGTCGCGTTGATCGCCGCCAACTCTTCATGGTATCGGGAGGTTGTCACGTTCACGTATCGGTTGGGGTCATGGTATCGGCTGCAAACACGCGCCATGTCAGCCCGATACATACGACGATACCCTTTGAATGCTCTGCTCGTGCAGGTCATTCAATTTCATTCATTCGATATCGAACAATTTTATTTACATCTTACATATGTATCACACTTGCTACCTATATCAACATCTATTTATTACAGTAACAACAAGAGCTAAATAATTATGAACTTTATAGTTAGGACTGCTGAAGCTGTCATCTTTTGAAGCGAGCTTGTCTACGAACAGCTGCTTGGAGAGCAGCAGCAATAAGTATATATACCTCTATATACTCTAAAACATTATAATGATAGCATCGGCACATAGCGCCTTACTTGGGCAGAGAGATCAGTTTATATTACTAGGAGCGCAGGAACAAGTAAGCGATGGACGTAAGCCTCAGGTGCGGGGGAGCAGCTCGTTGGCTACTTGCGTTCTGTGTGTATTGTACTCCGTGGATGGCAGCAGCGGCCGTGGTGGCGCAAAATCAACTTGGAGTTGAATATTATAATAGGGTCTCAATGTAACACCAAGCCAGCTGCAGCAGGAGACCGCTTCCTTAACGTCTTGTCGCTCAGAGGGTAACCTGGCCACCAGGCGATGTGCTCGCCTGTAGTAAGGTACGTCGTGTAACATGTTGCTTTGGTCTACTTGAAGAGTTCAGTGAGGTTAGTACAGTTACCTGATGTATGTTCATTGTGTAATCGTCGGACGTGAATGAGGAAGATACAGACGATTGTCAACGTATGAGACAGCACAATGAAGTAATTCTACTGCGAGGCTGAAGACTCAACCTAAAACCGTGCGTAGCGGTAGAAAATATAAAATATAGTACAAAAATAAATTGCTATAACATACTTAAAGTCATCGGTGATGTTGAGCATGGGCTGGTACTTGCTGAGGAGGTTCTGCGCGATGAGCAGTGTGCGCACCTGCACCACCAGCAAGCCCACGGCCACGGCCAGCAGCAGGCCCAGCAGGTGCGTCATGTTGGTCTGGTTCATGCGCAGGAAGTAGCGCTGGTACAACATCTCCACCTGCACACACATGCGCGCACCATATTAAGAACACACTCACACTACTGCAAGCAACGTTCGGAGGCGAGCAATGTACCTTTGTACAAGTACTGTGCTGTACGGCATCGAAGCTCTATTTGTGCAGAGACTGTTCTGAAAGGTGCGTCTTCCTTGTTATGGATATGAATTATATATAATATTTGAGAATGAGACAGACTCGCAGACAGCCGCTGCCAATCCACACACATACAGTGTGTCACTTTGTGTTAGGTACTGTACCGGAGCAAATGAAGCCTTGTTTGCAATAATAACGACCTAAGTTATCAACCTCGAGTACGTACAAGTGAGTTTGCTGTTGTACGGCACGCGGCACGTGCTGTTTGTTTGTAATTACGTCTTGTATTATCCACAAATGTAACCGTTTCTGACATCGCGCCGTAATGCCGTACGGCTCCCGTACGATATTTATATTGAGTTTTCCTTCTGTAACAGGTGTGACGGTGGCAGAGACCTGTGCCTCGGCTAGTTCCGCTCGGCATTGTAAGATTGTGATAGATATTGAACGTACTTATATTTTGTAAGCTCTGCCTGCACCATCATCATCACTCATGATGTCATGCCGATACAATCATGTAGTAGACTTACGTATACATGTACGCATACAGTGGCACAGTGCGGACGTCCCAATTCATAATTGTGTTATACGCCTCAATAATTGCATCGCGTCCCGAAGCTTCCAATATATTCGGAGCCGCGTACCTTTATCGCATTAGCATGTAATTTGAACATTTCCGACAAATACACTTTGTTGGTGAAAGCCAACGGGATAATGAAGCGCGCGGCGGTCGGCGGTCGCGGCGCGGCGCGGCAGTGCAAACACTCGGCGAACAATCGCACGGCCGCTCGCGCACCGGCGCGGCACCGCTCGACTCTCATTAAAACGCATTGTTTGCTGCCACCAGCCACCACCGGCACAAACAAATACATTGCCATCGCGACACGCGTGTCCTTATTGCATGTAATTCATTTGCATTCAATTCCCGTCATCTCCAACCTGCTGATTGAGCGTTGTCCTATATCGTGGTAAATTACAGCCAAAAAGCTGTTTTCAGTAAACAAGGCAATAGTAGGTCCATACACGTGTCTACTGTACGTAACTATTGATGCTATATTACGTCGGTGCTAGATATACGAACGAGTGGCTCGTGTTGGGGGTTACTCCACATTTCCACAATGTGAATTAATGTGAAAAATATCGGTTTACTTCTGCTGTAATTAAATTTAATAATAAAATATCACATTACTGTGTTTGCGTGTACCTCGTCAGAGAAGTGGTAACCTGACACTGTCGAGTGTAGACCTCATGTGAATAGATACAGGTACTAAACACTAGATCGCAGGATCAGGTTCGGTGCACGGGGCACGCATAAAAGAGTAAAAATTGTAATTATCGGTATCGAGAGTCGAGGGTTCGCGATCGAACCGTCATTAAAACTTAGCTCCAAACTCAAATATAATGAGCACAAACTTGAGCGCCACTTGGAGTATTCAATTAATACGAGTTTTATTATTTTTTGGTTAAATAATACGTTTTATGTTACGGCGGTGTATACCGGCGCAAGCTGTGCAATTGTTTTCTAAATACAAGGGAATACGGATAATTGTTTATTGTGTACAAATTAGCATTGGCTATGGATTCATCTGATGCGATAAAACTAGATGTTCGATAGGATTCTTAATCAAATCGATTTCAATGTTCATGGCTGCTGTTGTCCTTGTCTCAGTCGTAGCCTGTGTAGTGAGCTGTAGTGAAGCGAGCAATACGATTGCATCGAGTTCACTGAGTGACCCGTTGAGGACTGCCGGGATAAATTAATTGCTATTATTGATACTCTTATTTAACTTACGGCTACAATGTTTTATTTCTTGAAATGCAATTCCAGACACCAGCACCGTTCCATTACCAAAACTGAAAATGTTCTTTAACTTTGTGCAACCCAGGAATCGCAATGGAGACTGCTTGATCACTAGTCACGTTTTTGACTAGTCTGTATAAAGAGGCAACCATCTTACTACTATTCCATTTTTTATATTATTAATCCACTTAGTGCCCCATATAACAACGGCCAGATCTTGTATAAAGTTTTTTAAACAAACATGTAAGATTGTCCGTCATTTTTCCTTCAAGTACCCCTCGGCGACGATTTGTTCTGTAATCTTAGAGTTAACGTAGAACATAGATCAACGTTGTTACTGTTTGCTCTCCATTTGTCTCGCAGCCCTCAAAGCACACTAATTAATTTGTCAAGATCATTATCTCAATACTTCGGCCCGCTGTTTTGTTGGAGGACGATTTTTATGGCGTTTTCTGAGATTAAGCATAGTCTGTTTGAACCTTTAATAAATTACAAAGTAATATTTATCACAATAAGTCTGCACTATAATTATTAATCCACATGAAGTTACAAGTTACAGATAAACTCATGACTGGAGTATCAATTGTATCCAACCAGAGTGGCCAGAGGATGAGCAGAGTAGAACGGTGAGCGAGTTCAGGAAATATGAATTCGGTAAAAAAGTAATATGTGAGCACTGAGCATGTCGCATTTTGTGTAGAGATCTGCTGCTCTGATTAAGTATGACTTAACATAATATTTAAGTTTCATTGGGTGCGCAGATCAAGCTCTGTAGGAAGTTAAACCAACATTAAATGTTATCGACAGATTAAACCGATACGGAACTTCAATAGTTGGCTGAGCTTTGCAACACAAATTACAGTTGGAGCCACGAACCACGACTGAGGTAACTTCTGTTTAGATTATTGTAACATTTGCGTCCTCTGTTGAGGGAGTATCGATAAACAGTTGCTTTGTGGTTTACCGAGTGCGGATGTGACTCGACTACAAGCTGATTACAGAAGTTAAACTTGAACTCAAGTCGAAATGTCAGTAGCTAAGCTAAGTAAACCGGTTACATGTAGTCAGTAGCCACAGTAAGTGAGTAGGTACGGAGTACGGATCGCACCCAGTGTTATGTTCGAGTGGTGCTCGACCGAGTGGGATAAATGAGCTAGTGTGTGAATCTCGGGTTCACGTAACTAGCGAGTCACACATTCAGAGATCATAACATTGCCGCTACATGCGATTACGACATCATTTAGTGCGTACACTAGGCATTATACCGGTGCTTACAGCTACCATATGTTATTGTCGCAATGTGAAGAAAGGCTCCGGTACCACTCCGACACGACAACGGCACGACAACGGCACACTACCGTTCCTCTAAGGTTGAGTTGCGCGATAAAGGCAAGCGGCAAATCTTGTTTATTTTTCCGTAAAAGTCGTCGCTGGCGTAAAAAAATCGTCTCATATGTATTTAATTTTGCTTTCAGCTTTCATCAGGGTTGTGTCGAGAAAATATGAATTCTAATATGTTTGCGTTTTGGTTGAGATAAATAGAATAATGAGATCGTGTTGAGATTACATTATGTTACATATTTCAATATTGAGGACCCTTGTGTCCAACCGGCTCGAGTACACGCTGCTTGTGTTAACTTCAGTCTAAACTAAACTGTAATCTAATTTATAGGGATAAACAATAAATCCTAAAATGTCGCTAACCTTTATTTGTAAGAATAAAAAAATGTTGAGCTAGAAACCTTCCAGCTTGGATCAATTTTAGAAAAATCAGAAAATATGTAACACAAGCGATGTACGTATATTAACTGTTCAAGGCGACGACAACAACATGACGCGTTTCCAAAACAAATTCAGTGAAGACGTCGCCCCGCGCAGTAAACCGCCTCAAAATCTTATAAAAATATTCTCACAACGTAAAAATGTACAGCATCAAGTTGAAGTAATCCAAGTGTCTGCCATCTTGGCTTTATGTACACAATTTGTTCGCTCATTTACTTGAGCATTATTAAATGTACATCATAAACTGGTGCAAAGCTGTTGTTTTTCCTCCAAAAATTAATAACGCGCGGGACCGTCTGTCGCTTGGGATTCGTGTTTTAATCTAACGCGGGCGAGGTGCCACTACAGCATACTCCTACACCTAGCTAGGTACGTGACGTAGGTAGCGGCAGGTTGCACGCGCCGGCGGCTGATCCTATATCCTTGTTCCATTACAGTAAATCCTCGGATCTTCCAAACAATATGAAAAACATTCATCGGCGTTTCGGGATCAAGTTGTCAAGACGTACGCGTGCTCCTGACAAATCCAGCCGCCTTACCTTACCCTACTTTGACAAGGTTGTAAACTTCAGCAATGACGTGTAGCGCGTTAAAACTTTGTCAAAGCTGGCAGTCATGATATGATTATACAGCGAGTAGTTTCTCACTGAGCAACTTAATATCTAATCCGAGTACACTGTTGTAGTGTGGACCAACGACATATTTTTTAATAAAATATTACAAAGATGACATCGACCACCACGATACAGGACACACAAATGACATGAACACCAGAGTACCAGCAATCAGTCACAAAGTTCCGTTCGCTACGAGCAACATGTTGAATTGTTTTGATTTATTGGTTTGTGTTCGAAGCCACACCCACTCCACGACTTCAAAGTTTCAAGTAGTTCGTGTAGTTAGTCTGAGGTAGAAGTGAACTGTAAAACTGAGGAGGATTAGTAAATGTACGAGCCGTGTGGTGTAGGGGGACCGGGAGGGGGGGGGGGGCTGAGTAACCTTAAAACTTCTGGTATCTTGTCACGTAATAAACGTGAGCTTTACTCGTGAAACGTTATTCTAAGCAGTTGAGTGAAAATATTCATTGGTTGTCAGTCCCAATCATTTGGTAAATAATAAAAATGAACCGTGTACAACAACTTGTTGGTACAGAACATGCAGTGCAACAAAAGTAAACAGACGTCCAACCGCTGCACGTGGCAGCCACGCGGCCACCGCCCGCACAGCTCTAGCCTGGCTCACATGTTACGTGCAGGACTTGTCGTGACAGGCCAGCATGCTGCCTGTCCAGCTGCCTGTTCAAATAGTGCAGTGGTATAATTT